ACCAGCCTGGCCAACATGGTGAAACCCCATCTCTACCAAAAAATACAAAAATGAGCTGGGCGTCGTAGTGCCCACCTGTAATCCCAGCTACTCGGGAGGCTGAGGCATGAGAATCACTTGAACCTGGGAGGTGGAGATTGCAGTGAGCTGAGATCACACCACTGCACTCCAGCCTGGGCAACAGAGTGAGACTCTGTCTCAAAAAACAAACAAACAAACAAACAAACAAACAAACAAACAAATTCTGCAGAAAGCCAAAACCGAAGAAAAGCAGCACTCTCAGTAAAAAAAGCAGAGAAATATCTGTCCTGCAGATTGAGACAATAAGGATGCAAGCCTGCACAAACCTAACTCTGGGTATCTAACAAAATTCTACTACTTCTATATTTAAAAAAAAAAAAAAAAAAAAAGCCAAAGATTAAATTTAAAGTGATCCACAATTGATATGTCTCCCAGGTAACTGGCAGAAGTATGTGTAAATTTTATTTAGAGGCGTTTATTCAGACCTTGAAGATTTGTTTTTTTTTTTGAGACTGAGTCTTGCTCTATCACCCAGGCTGGAGTGCAGTGGTGTGATCCTGGTTCACTGTAACCTCCACCTCCTGGGTTCAAGCCATTCTCCTGCCTTAGCCTCCCAAGTAGGTGGGACCACAGGTGCAACACAAGGCCTGGCTAAGTTTTGTATTTTTAGTAGAGACGGGGTTTCACTATGTTGGCCCGGCTGGTCTCGAACTCCTGACCTCAGATGATTCGCCTGCCTCGGCCTCCCAAAGTGCTGGGATTACAGGTGTGAGCCACCGTGTCCAGCCTCCTTGAAGAATTATCACAGACAAAATTCCAAGGAACACAAGCTTAGACACAATACAGATGGAAAATGCTTCTGGTATTTTAATGTTATTTATTATGATAACTGTTAGCATAAATATCTTTCTTTAATATTTTTGAGAAATAGCCTTCTATTCTCCATTTTCAGAGTTTTTCTGAAAAAATTAGAAATGTTGAACATTTAAAATAAATTTAAAATAAATTATATATTCTAAAATATTCTCCAGGCTTTTGGTAGGATGACATAAAACATTCCTTTCAATTCCTTTCTAATTATTTTTCTCATTTGATCATAGTTCACCTAATAATAAAAATAGAATAGCTTTGTAAGAGATTTTTCTAGCTTAGTCTTTTCCCAACAAAATGCTGAATTTAAATTGGGAGCTATATTAGAACATCTAAATATTTTCTCTGAATAGTATTTATTACGTGCCGGCACTATTCTAAGCACTTTACACATATTGACTTATTCAGTCCTCAAAATAACCAAATAAGTTGTTACAATTATTACCTCTATCATATAGATGAGGACATGGAAGCACAAAAGAGTTACGCTGTAATCCCAGCACTTTGGGAGGTGGAGGTGGACGGGTCATTTGAGGTCAGGAATTCGAGATCAGTCTGACCAATATGGTGAAACCCTGTCTCTACTAAAAATACAAAAATTAGCCGGGTGTGGGCCTGTAGTCCCAGCTACTTGGGAAGCTGAGGCAGGAGAAACGCTTGAACCTGGGAGGCAGAGGTTGCAGTCAGCAGAGATCAATCAAGCCACTGCACTCCAGCCTGGGCGACAGAGTGGGACACTCTGTCTCAAAAAAAAAAAAAAAAAAAAAAAAAAAAAAAAAAGGGTTAAGCAGGTTGCCCAAGATCTCACAGCTACTAAGTCTTCAAACCTAGACTGACTGCCCCCAGAGTTGCACTGTGAACCCTTAAGTTACACTGCATCTGAGAAAGTTCTTTCTTAACTACAATCCAGGGATCTTTTTTTTTTTTTTTTTTTTTTTGAGACGGAGTCTTCCTCTGTCGCCCAGGTTGGAGTGCAGTGGTGTGATCTCGGCTCACTACAACCTCCGCCTCCTGGGTTCAAGCAATTCTCCCGCCTCAGCCTCCAGAGTAGCTGGTACTACAGGCACCCGCCATCATGCCCGGATAATTTTTGTATTTTTGTAGAGACGGGGTTTCACCATGTTGGCCAGGCTGGTCTAGAACTCCTGACCTCAGGTGATGCACTCGTCTCGGCCTCCCAAAGTGCTGGGATTACAGGCGTGAGCCACCATGCCCGGCCGGATCTCTTATTTCTTTAATAGTACTCTATTCATTTCTGCCCAAGCATACGGCAAACTTCATTGACTGACTTGTTTAATGTCTGCCTTATTCTCTAGACTCTTTCTCTTCGAGAGCAGGAACCATTTTATGCCATTTCACTGCCGTTTACCCAGTGGCTAGCTTACAGTAGATACTCAATTAATAGTTGTTGATTGCATAAAAGGTGAAGGAAAAATGTCTCATTCACGGAGTAATGTCGCCATCTCGTGGAACTTTAGAATATTGTCATTTAAATCACTTAAAATAGGTTTTAAAGGAAAGAATTGATGGTTCGAATGTTATTTTCCAGATTGTATTCGAGTTTTTTTTTTTTTTTTTTTTTTTTAATTGGACTGGACCTTTTAAGATTTTTAGTGCTCTAGAATTGCACAGCCTCTTCAGGTCAGGCTTGGGACCTACTAGGTTTTCTTGGTGAAATGAATTGTGCAACTAGGTAATGAATGTTCACTGTTTTACGTTCAGAACTCTTTCGCTTCTACCTTTACAAAAGGGACAATACAGATGCATTACTAAGCTCTTGGCTCATAACGATCCCTCGGGTATATTCAGAGCCCTTTCCTCGAGGCGTTCATACAGTGTCTCAGGGGTCTGTCAGCCAGCAATTCCCAGTTCCTCGTTACATATTCCTCATAATGCATGCTGGCTAAAATGGAAATTGTGTCCAGAAATAGCCCTACCCTACCATCATACACTAGGTGAAAGGGGGAAATTATGCTCCATTAGGAACCCTAGGCTATCTTGCATTAATGCTTCTCAATCTGAAATAATTCTTTTCAAAATACCAATACGTTAAGAAGAGCTACTTCCCTGATCTACCTATTATGGGCAGCCCATTTTATGAAGTTAGCATGGCTTTCCTATTCAAACCGGAAATGGACAAAAAGAGAAGGAAGGTTTTTAGGTCGGTATGGTTATAACTGTAGATTCTGTATTCTTCCTATTTAATCTACCTCTCATATTAACCAACCACGGAGGCTGGAGGCCGGAAGTCTTAGACACCAGCGAGAGCCGCTCCTTCCCCACGATTCTATGGCTTTCGGGTTAGTTACGCCACGGGGAACTCTATGGTTCCGGGGCGGGCCGGGAGGCTTGAGTTTGAAGACCGGCGGGAAAATGACCGCACCTCTTGCCTGGCCAGGGTTCTCCCGAGAGGGAGGACGCTGGAACTGTGGCTTGCCCTGATCGGCCGAGAAGGATTTGCCATGAATCTTCTGCGTCGGAGTGGGAAACGGCGGCGTTCAGAATCAGGCTCAGATTCGTTCTCGGGAAGTGGCGGTGACAGCACTGCCAGCCCCCAGCTCCTCTCCGGGTCCGTGCTGAGTCCGCCGCCGGGCCTGGGTCGCTGCCTGAAGGACCGCAGCCGTCAGTCGGCCGCAGCTGCAGGTGCTCCAGGAACCCGGGAGGCCGCGGGCAACGGAGGCAGCTCCGCCGGGCCATGGGTCGGGAGGTGTCCTCACCCCACGGGACTTGCTTCACTGCATACCCCACTGGGCTTCTACTTCCCTTCTCTGTGACTCGGGCCTGGTGTGGCAGGTCACTTTCTGTTCAGACATACGCGTGTTTTCAGTGATCGCCTGGTATTAATATTCACGTGGCTTCTGGGTCTTTCGACCTTTACAGAAACAACTTCCTAGTTAGCCAAATCCCATCACCTGTTCGGGGGCTCCTTCCTCACAGTACCCAGTACTCCTTACAGACCCTTAAGACAGGATTGTTGGGCCTAGAGTATGGCACAGGCTGTTGGGCGTCCAGAGGAAGGCTAGAAGGGATTCGTAATGAGATTGGTTGGGTGTCTTGTGGATGTTGACCCAGTTTTTAAAAATCGTTAGTTGTGCAGTCGTCATGGAACTAAAACTTACTATAAATAGAAACTCACCTAACTTAGCTTTGTAGTGCTTCCATATTGCCCTCTTCCCCCAACTCCACCTGTAGTTCCAACACCCTTTATCTACTGTGTATTACACGCTTTTTTTGTTTGTTTGAGGCTTTTAAGGAATTGTTTTTATTATATGCAGTAAACAACAATTTATTACTTTTCTATACATGGTCAATTTCTCATAAGATTCTTGAAGTCAGGATGTGCTTTAAAGAGCTTCATTTCAACATGTAGGAATTCCAACACACGGTAAAGGGCTAATTGTAAAACTCATACATTAGAAGTAAATTAAATTTTTAATTTTTTCTTTTTCCTAAAAGGAGAATGCAAGCCTACAGTTCCTGACTACCAAATAGACAAGCTACTATTGGCAAACTGGGGACTTCCTAAAGCAGTTCTGGAAAAATACCACAGTTTTGGTGTAAAAAAGATGTTTGAATGGCAGGCAGAGTGCCTTTTGCTTGGACAAGTCCTGGAAGGAAAGAATTTAGTTTATTCAGGTATCGAAATTTATGTAAATTAATTACTTTTTAAAGATATGAATGTAAACAATGCTCTATTGAGGTAGTTGTGATTCTTTTAAAAGGTGAATGAGGCAGTGCTTTATAACTAGAGAAAATCTTAAAATCTGTGCGAAAAGTGGAGTTTATTTATATTTAAGTTACAAAAGTTTTATTGTTTGGGGATGGGGGAAGTAAGAAAAATGACAGTTTAAAGAGTGGGCAATTCAGTCTGCCATCATTCTCAACAAACATAATATCCCAGTGAGTGTACAATGGGAGATGTAAATCTGCCCTTCCCCCATTTGATCCTGGTTGCTTTTCAGGGTATGAGTATTATCATTATATGTTTGTTAATTGAGTTTTTTTTTTTGTTTTTTTTTTT